ACAAGTACAAAAAATAATTTTTTCGTACATGTTTTCCATAAAATATATTTGATTTGATAAAGGCAGTCAAAATCAATGATAAAAAGGCATACTACTTAAGTAGCTAATTGTTACAATCTATACATTTTGCTAGTGGTCAGAACGAAGCTCACAATAGATACGTTTTGCTAGTGGTCAGAACGAAGCTCGTTTAAAAACCAACAACCTATACTGACTGAAATGACTTCAGAATAGACTACACGATAATCAGTATCACAAATCCTGACTGAAATGACTTCAGAATAGACTACACGATAATCAGTATCACAACTGGGCGTTTTGCTAGGAGTCGAAACGAAGCTCGTTAAAAAGCCGGCATCCTATCCTGGGTTTTGCTAGTGGTCAGAACGAAGCTCATTAAAAAGCCCGCATCCTATCATGGGGAGTCGAAACGAAGCTCGTTAAAAAGCCGGCTTCCTATCCTGACTGAAATGACCCTCAATTCCGATTAGCGAAAGAGTATTAGTCTTTCGCATATGTCGAAATATTGCATGATCAACGGCGTCTACCGTAATTTTCAATAAACATGAGGCTACGTTATTGTATTCTTCCCGTGTTAAACAACCAAGAGTTGGGTAACAGTGTGCGTGGTAAAAGCGATTTCTAAAGGCCTTCTGTACGCACGAAGAACAAAATTAACCCTGTGCTGACTAGAAAAAATAGTCAACACAACAACAGTCGCAACATAACAAATGCATCATCAAATACCACAGGCCTGTAAAATTGTTCCCCTGATGATAAAAATTTGAGTCTACTATTTTGTCACTCGTATCGCAATTGTGTGCCTCTATATATGCAAATTCAAAGTTTACTTGATGATAGGTACGGAACTCGTTATAAATAATCGTGTGACTTTTGTGCACATTTTGTTGTTTGTATAGGGAAATGAGAATGAAAAAAAAGAGAGATGAAGCAGATAACAAGAATTCAAATTACTTAGTTTAGAGAGCGACGCCAATGAAGTGTTCACCGCAAGGGACAGCTCGATTGGAAGTTCTTGTGGAATGACGGAGGTGATAATCAGTGTGCACTCGATAAAAAGCTTGTAACGGTTCCTCCTCGGGTCGGCTGTTCCTTAAACAAGAGTAGGAGAAAGTAGTATCCTGTAAAAGACGTAAAGTTCACAGACTGGGCGTCTAATAGTAGCAATACTGTTACCGAACCGACTAAAATCCTTCGAATATAAATACCGCCTAGTACCGAGCGTTAAATTATTAATTGTCTGCATGATATAAACGGAGAAAATTAGACCCGAGATGTTACCTGCTGGGAACTATATAAGTGTTGTTGCTTTTTAAAATTTCGTCTAACATTTTTCAGCGTTTAGAAGAACAAAATGAAAAATATTACCAGCCGAGACATTAAAAAAAATTTCAACAGTAATATTTTGTATTTTAGGGCAACCTTGGGGATCGGACTGCATCTGCACGTTCATGGTCAAAGTTTCGGGTAAAACCCGTATCATTTACTAAACTTAGAGTACTCATTACATTTAAGTAGGGTGTTCTTATAAACTTCACTTGAACAATTCTGTGCACGGACGGAATCTACAGCAAACAACTTGCTGACTTTACTTTTGAAAATGGGCCGTCTTTAAACACTACATGTTAAATTTTCACGAATTTAGTGTTCGATTTTTTCCGGTGTATATGAGCAGACAAATATGCAGAATATTGTTATTTTTTAAAGATGCATTGTTACCCTCTTATCAGCATATGAGCAAGGATTTGACTTGAAAATGTACTGAGGCAGATTGCTTGGTTGGTGCACCAGATGTCCCTTCTTAACACTTTAACTGCGACTCCCAAAAATAGCCCGTAGTTTGCCATATTGCGTGTACCACATATGGCGCACGTCGCAGTCAAAGTGTTAATAGCTTGAACTGCTCGTCAAATTTCTAATATATATTTCGTAGTGCTTAAACGGGTTCTGTCGTATGAAATCAAGTCATGATCCAATCACAAAATGCAATCAAAGTTGTTGTGGAAAGCGCCGAGTTTTTAAAAGGAAATTAACCATGGCCTCTTCTCGGTCGGAATTTTAAATGAACGCGTGTTAATCACAGAGTTAATTGTGGTACACGCACGCGATCATTAGACACGCCCCTGGTTACATTCACGGTACATTACACATTACATACGATTGTCGTCCTTAGGTATGTACACGTACC